TCACCATACCAAAAAAAAAACAGATAAAAGTGAAAGAATACTTGTTTATACACAATTCTTAAACATTTGATAACATGTTTATGACAAATACTAGTGATACATTTTATTATTAAAACTAAGTCCACACTTGGTTAACGTAAGCTGATTAGTTAATTAAATTGACAGGAAATAATGTCTAATGCCTGATAAATTTATGACTTTACCATGTCTTTGATTTTTAAAACAGAACGTAGTTTATGGAGTTTATTACACGCCATATAAGACCTTTGGGTGATGTTCACCATGTGGGCTGCTATGTGTTTGGTTCCTGTTCATAGTTATAGATAAATAGAATATATTTTCAATAATTTACCTATTAAGCTTGTTTAGAAGTTATTCAGATTTTTTTTTTTAATTTCCAGTAATTGTATTTGATAAGAAAATATTTAAGTACTTTCCACAAATTAAGTATACACATCAATTTCAATTAAATGGGATTATAATCTATAGTATTTAGAATATAATAGAAAAGTTTTTATTCTAATCTAAATTATTATTTTGTCACGTATTACAGATTTTTATGATAATGTAGAATACAACTTGAGATAATTATTTTAAATCAAAAATACTTAAAAATAAGTACATTTTAATACGATTTAAATAATGTCATTGTAGATCGATAAGAAAATAATTACTTAGTATGAAAAAGAGTATGTATTACAATGGAAATTCCATTAAATCGTGATTTGAGGAATTATAAAATAAATCAATGATTTTCAGACTTGTCAAATACTATACTGAAGTATTATTATGTATTAACGATAAGATAACTGCTTAGGTAATTTCTAAGAATTTATTTCATTTCGGGTAATAACTTCATCAATTTTGTTTATCAACTAAGCTCTCATTTATGGTGATAAAGGTCTATAATTTAATATATCCACAGTTGTAATGTTATTAACAAAACATTTCAATTGAATTTAATTCCATGGAATGATCAAATATATATATATATATATAGTGATCACAATAATATATTAATTTAATATAATGACAAAATCTTAATTAATGGATATAAAATAATTAAATTCTTATGTATTTTGCAAGCATTGAATTTATTAACTATTTGATATAGTAGTAGTACAATATATTATTGGGATGGTAAAATATAGTTGTTAATATTGAGAAGTTAGATTTTGTTTTTTTTCTTCTTTTTTTATTGAATGACTGCTGTTTCACCACCAGATGGTACCCCAAATTTCTTCCACTTTAAACAGCTCTACGCAACTTTCTTATTTTGCCTATTTTTTTCTATTTACTTCTTGCAATCTCTAAAACAGCCTTTAATTCTATTTTGTACGCTCTACAGTATTTTTTTCTTAAAGCTTTATTTCCAGGATGCATTGGTAGTTCTTAACTGCGGAATTATTGGCATATAACCGAACTACTTAAGTTAATAACATTCGGCTTTATTTTGACGTGAGCTTTCTGTAGCTGACTTTTGCTATGATTGTTTTTTATTCTGGCATATCCACCTTTCTCTTTATACTCTTAAGTCTTAAGTCCATTTCAACGATTGTTGATTTTTTAAACTCACACTCATTTGCTGCCCGACTTTTGCTTTATAAAGTAAAATTAGTTCGATGATTGTAATTTAGAGTTGACTATATTTTATTTTTCAAAAATGTGTGATGAAACTGACTCGTTCACATACTTCATAAAGTCTCTTTTACCAGGGGACTTAATTTGTAGGAGGTATTTGGGTATCTTTTAAATACCTCGATTAAGTAGCACATTTCAAGAAGACTATGTGGTAGTCTTCTTTGATGTAATGTGGTACTAGATAATTGTTCTGATTTGACCCTTTGTTAACGGTTTTGTTTCATTTGAGTGATTTATGATAATTTGACTCTTTCGTAAGAGGTGTTATTGATAGTAATTTGGTTTCTAGTGTTTACTACATACATATCTTACTTTTTCTCATTATTTATTGTCATTTTCTTGGGTCTAAATACTGATCATTATTATGGTCAGTAAACACTGATTTACTCTATGTTGGAGCAGTTGATCTTGACTTTTATGTCAATGAAATTAATTTTTAACTTATATATTAGCAGAATCAGATTAATAATATAATTATTTATAAATATTTATTTTATATATATATTTATAAATAATTTTTTCTTGTTCGAAAATATATAAAAAATCGTGATATTTTTTTTTTAATTCACCAAGTTTAATTCTCATATAGTAATCTTTTGTGTTCAATATGAGAATAAATATATACTTATGAGTATATTACTAAAAATGTTTCTTCTCTGAAAATATATAAAGAATAGTAATTGTTTTTGCACAAACATTATCTGGTGTAATTAAAAACAAAAATAGACTAAATTTGTAATTTGTTAAAATACAAATTTGTCCTAATAATAATAAACTAAAGCAAAAATTAATTCACTAAGTTAAATTCTCATAAAACAATCCTCTGTGTCCAAGTTCAATATGTGTATAACTATACTCCTATGAGTTGATCAAATGGTTGATAATATGAGATAATAAATATTTTATTGATTAATTATTTATAATTAAATTTTAGTTTTCCACTAAAATTTGGTATGAGTAAATACATTCTTACATATATACGAGGGCGATTTGATAAATCAGTGACTTTTTGAATTTCCCGCGTAGTTACTCCAAATGCAACATTGCTGCCGTTAGCTGTAATCTACTAGTTGGTGTTTAATAGCCGTTCAAAGCAGACAACATCGTGAATTTTTACGAAAATAGAAAAAAGTAAATTTCGTGTGCTGATTAAGCATTACGTTCCCAATCCACGACTTGGAACACGAACTGCTAACCCATCCAGCATATTCTCCAGATTTAGCCCCCTGCGACTATTTTCTGTTTCCAAACCTAAAGAAATGGCTGGACGGTAAGAGATTTGAGTCGAATGAAGAAGTCATTACCGAAATAAACGCGCATTTTGAGAGCTTTCAGAAAACCTATTATTTGGAGGGAATAAAAGGTGATTATGTAGAAAAATAAAATGTTTATTTGCCGAAAAAAATTTGTTTTATTCATAAAGTCACTGGCTTATCAAATCGCCCTCGTATATATATATATTTTTTTTTTTCAACAATATGATATTAACCGCAACATAATTAAAATATGCTAGTAAATATAAAATATATTAAACTAATTAAAATATATTTGTATGCAAATAAAAAGGAAATTAATAACCAGTTTTGGTTATTTAATCTATTTAATTATTGTTTGCTGTGTAAAGAATTAGTTGAGGTCATATCAATGAATACCAAATTGCCAAAATTACAAAGAACTTGCTGGCCCATTAATTAAACAAAGCAATGCCAAATATGCATTGATATATTTATTTAAACTAAAACAAAAAAAAAACTGTATATATTTAAAAGTGATTTTAATTGAATAACAAAAATTGATTTGAAAAAAAATTAGTTTTTATTTTAAAATGAAATTTTGCAATGCAACTCTTCTCTGATTGGAGAACTATCTATATTTCTAATTGCTGTCATTTTAAACAATGACAACAATAACAACGACAACAACAACAACAATAATAAAGAATTGCCAAAATGTAACTAAAATTTTGCAATTAAAATAAAATTTAATTGAAATTCATTTCACATAAATATTTTGAATGTACATTGAATTTAATTTATGTACGAGTGACTAGAAAATTCAATATTTATTTGTATCTTTTGTTTGTTTGCATTGCAGAAATACGTCAGTGAATTGTCCACTGTACGGGATTGTGCCACGGAATGCGTTGAGAAAGGTGAGTACTATTTTTCGTGTAACTTTTGTGCTTCGTATCCATAAATTATCCACAAAAATTTTAATTTCACATTGAAAAATATTTACGTTTTATTGGAAATTTGAGTTTTTGTAATTTGGTATGAAAATTAATGCAACGAAATGCAGCCTTAGTGCAGTTTTGCTCGCCCGTTGCACTAATGAATTATGACTTTTAACAACATTAAATATTCACACAAAAATTTTCTCCTAAAATATTAAAATATTTACTGTGTTGTCAACAATTGACCATAAATAATCGAATGGAATTTTAATACACAATAATATCGGTAAGGTATTGGATTAATGTGTATTAGTTTAAAAACGATTATTAATTGTTTCAAATTCATTTCATTATTATGAAAATATAAAGCGGATATTATGTGTTAATATTTAATTTAAAATATTAATCTTTAATTTAATATTTTGTCATTAAACGTAAGAGATTTATTTTAAGCGCTGTAGTATTTATCTATTTAATTTAAGCCATATGCATTATAATATTATTCATCTACGTAAATAAATACACAAGGATTTATCCATATGTTATATACTTAAATAGAATGTTGCTTATGTAATCGAAAACCATTTAATTAATTTCGATTAAATTTAGATAAGAAGGAAGCTTATAGGCTAACTTCACCCAATACAGATACGTGATGCTAGTGTAGCGAAACAAATGTAAAAATCTTTGTAGTTACAATTAGTATCAATGAAGATACATTTTTAAAAGCAAATATTTTAAAAAAAATAATGTTGTTATAAGCCAAAGTATTAAAAATTAAATTCTACCATCACATTTAACTTAAAATTTTTAAATAATAAGAAATAAATATTTACTTATTGACATTTTATTAGAAAAAATTATTAATGTTACTCAAAAGGACATATATTGAAAGACCTATAAGTAGGGTGGATAAAAATGTTTGTCAGGCTTCAAGACTTGCTTAACAATACATCTAGTTTTGACAATAAGCTTATCAGTTAGTTGCTTTAAGTAATGCGGAATCTAGTACGGAATACGACGGTATTGATGCTAACAGGTCACTATGTTTTAGGAAGAAACGTAATGAGACTTGGTTTAGCGCATATCCCTAATGACTTTGTCGTAGATACTTTTCTACAGAGGTATAGGAAATTGTATTTCACCTTTTTAGCCAACGCCCATCTGTAACTATCCCATCTTAAACAGACTTTATAAGGAAAATAATCAACATTTAGAGATTGAACTAGAGAATTATATTAGCGATTTAGAACTTTAAATATAAAAAAGCAGCACTAATGAAATGCTAGAACAACAAGAAAGCAATAAGTAATTGAAAAAAAATTGACAAACATAGTATATATACTACTATGTTGAGGCTAGTTGAGTTGAGTCAGTGCACCTGAGCACTTTTACTTTCTACTAACTGCGAGGTTTCTACAAAACCCCTCTTTGCGCCTTGACTGAATTTTTGTTTATACATATCATAAGATAGTTGATACTTATTGTCATTTGCATCATTAGTTATCTTCTTTCAAATAATGAAATAAGAATTCCCATAAACAGCCCGCACTGATTCAAATTCTTTTAGGAACTGCTAAGAGCTCTAAAATTATATGGGTATAATATATAATACATTCATTTTATGATTTTAAAATTATGCTATTTTCAATTCTTATTCTTAAGAATTATACAAGTAGTCTTCTATTGGAATTTACTATCGAACAGTTTATTATAATTAATAATTTAATTAATTAATTAAATTAATTAGTTTAATTAATAAACTAATAAAAATAAAAAAAAATATATTGTATTTACAATAATAAATTCTTTTATAATTAAAAGCTTAGAGAGGCATGTTTTGTATTATAGAGATAGATGTTGTGTATAGCCAATTATTACTCGTACAATATTTTTATTTTTATACTTATTTCATTATAATTATATTGTAATCATTTATTTTATTTATAACTTTTATGATTAAATTTATAACAATTTTTTTTTTTTTTGTTATTTAACAGAGGTTTGGGAGACTCAAACATTTTGCTGCGATCAAGATGGCTGCAACGGCGCAAATGAACTACAAATATCAAAGTTCATTTTAATATTATGCTTGCCTATTATATACATGGTCTACAGTTCTATCGGAAGTGTGTTTAAGGCTCGTCGTTAAGGTTCAAAACTTAAAAAAAAAACAATTTTAATTTTTAATTAATTTTAAATAATTTTAATTAAGTTTTTTTTATTATTAACTGTACACTTTTAGTTATAATTTTATAATATATATATATGAATTAATTTACTATCTGCTTAAATCATTTTTTATATAATAATTTCTATAAGTGGGACCTAAAGCGAGATTATGAATTGTTTCTTCGTACTTCATATCTATATTTATGAACCATATTTTGCATATTTATTTATAACTATATAACTCTTTGTTTCATTCTGCAGTTATAACTACAATAGCAAATTTTTAGTCATTTTAAAAGTAAAAGGTAAAAAAATATATTGTATAAATCTTATATTGTATTTAATGCTGAATTTTGTTTAAAATACTTTGCTTTGTAATTTTATCAGTCTTCCCAGAGTAAAATAAAATGAGTATATATATTAATGATAAATATTAATAATTAAAAATCAACTAATGCCGTTTTAAAATAAATATTTAAAAAACTAAAAAAATCAATTATAACAAAAAGATTAGGAAACATTCTAAATTTCACTTAAAAAAATCAATTAGAGAGTAAGTCAAGTATAAAAATTAAAAAGTTATATAGAAATATTTATTAAAAGCAGAGAATTTTTAGTCTACGCTATCTGCTAGTATATACATATACAAAAATATTTATATACTTCAAAAATGAATAAATATTTTAAATATTATTAGAAATGAAAACTTAAAAAATAAAAAAAAGCTTTAAAATTGTTTTAAAGTGAAAGAAATTTTTTTTTTTAATATGAAAATTATCAATTAAAAACTAATAATTTTAATAATATTTTTATTTTATACGCTGTTTTTAAAATTTAAAATTTCAGTTAACTTTTGTCATTGAAGACGTAATATTAAGCAAACGACAATTTCGTGAGGAGTAAAATTTTGGGGTCTTGCGAAATTGTTGCTTCCAAATAATATCGTCAATTACTTGTACAATTTTTAAATCACTCAAATAAATTAAATAAATGAGATTCTAAATAAGCATTAAAGTCATATAGTGACCATTTTCTATTAAGCATAAAATATTTTAAAATTTTTTCTTAAAATAAATAATAACAAAACAAGAATTAAATTTTTTCCATAGTTGGAATGCAACGAATAAATTTGAATTTAGTTCTCTAAAATAAGTAAATGCTTTTCACTAGTTTTCAATAACATTTTAAGATATTTATATATACATATTAAAAAAAGAGTAAATGGTAAAAGTAATACCATAAGTATAAAGAAATACAATATAAATTTCAAAAATAGTAACAGAAATCAGTAAACTGAAGAGAAACATATAAAAATATATAGTATACATATATTAATTTATATGTATATATAGAACATTTTGTTTATATATAAATAACAAATATGTAATTTTAAGGTGGCGAAAAAAAATGAAATAAAAATAAACAAACAACCAAGTTATTTAAAAAACACTAAGAATTAAAATTTACACAAAACCATTTAAAAATATATAAATATTAAAACTGTACAAGAAATTCTAAATTATTGTTAAATTATATTAAAGTAAATATTAGTGTTACTAAATAAAAAAGAAAAAAATAAAAAACTTATACTGCAATTATAAAGAAAAAATATCTACAAAATAATTTAAATTAAAATAAATAAACTTTAGTGATGCAAAGAACAGCAATTAAAAAAAAAATATATATATGAATTATACAAAGTTTTAATTAATTTAAAACTAAAATTTTTTGACTAAAGCACTTTCGTAATATTTATTTAATTTTTAAATAAAAAAAAATATATAAATAAAAAGTATTTCAGATTAAACTTAAGGCTTCATAAACTTACAGAAGAGATTTATTCGTAGTCAGCAAAATATAAAAAAATGATTTTTAATATTGGCAAAAAAAAAAAAATATAAAAACAAAAAACATAGCAATAATTAAATAATACCAGACATATTAGTTCCTTGAAAAGCATATATAAACAAAATAAAAAAAAAGCTACAATAGTTTCAATATTTAAATAATAGTGAAATAATGGTAACAACTTTATGTAAAAAAACTACACAGAACTTAATTTTGTTTGGCTTTTTTGTTGTAAGTGATTTTATTATTCGCGTAACTTTTATTTTTGAACAATGCCATTTAATAACAAAAAAAAAGAATTAAATAATTAACTTTTTGCCTTTATTAAAATTGAATTCTTTTTCATCCTCTGTGCAAAATTTTTTTTATTGATTTTAAAACAATAAAACATTTTGCTGTGCTTTTTATTGTGTGTGAAAGCACTTTTTTTAATATTACTTATTTTTTCATTTGCACATTTAAAACACTTTCAATTTATTTTTTTACTATATTTAATGTGATAAACATTAAAAATCAATTTAATAAATATAATATTTGTATATGTATAAGAGAATTTATGTATTTTACTCGTTCAAATGTTTGGTGTATTTTATGTGTATTGTATTTTTTTATTATTAAAAATTATAATATAAATTTTAAATTTTATTAATGCTATTGTACTATATACATACATACAAATAAATATAATTATGTGATTAACACAAACATTGACACATAATTAAAATGAATTCAACATAAAATCAGATTCAATTCAATTATAAATTAATTCACTTATTCAGAAAATTAATAATGCAAAATTAATACAGAAATACTACACAAATAATTCAGCAATTTATAAATTAAAAATAATTAATACAATTAAGTGAATTATAAAAAAAATTATAATAAATAATATTTAAAAATGTAATTTTGATTTAAGCAATTAAATAAAATAAAATAAATTAAAACACAAAAAAATGTTTTGTCTTTTTTTTTATAGTATGAAAAATATGTTCTTTAAATACGGTTAAATTAATTTTTAGGCTATATAATATTTATTTTCCAATATGGAATTTTTTTTTTGCAGTTTAGTAAGTATACTTAATAAAGCTTTTGCCACAAGCTGTATAGTACAATTAAACATGCGAATCAAGAAGGCGATAACTCATTAAATTATTATATTTTTAGTGCAGTTAAGTAGCATCTTTTTATATTCTATTTTATTTTTAATTTGTTAATATTGAACATGATGTCAGAAGTTACAGATGTTACAGAAGTTGGCAGCGATATTATGTCCTTTTTGTTTTGCTATATAAGTGCTGTGAACTAGCACCTTGAGTATTTTTTTGGTGATATTTTTAATTTTTTATTCGTGTTTTACTGCTGTCAGTTAACAATTCTTCTTACTCAATATTTTCCCGTTTTTTTTGGTTTGTTAGCTGTCATTTTGGCGCCTGCTTAATTTAATGTAAACACTTGAACTAACTTGCGCGCTAATCATATGCTGAATAAAATAAAAGTGCTTGCTGAGTAATTGATTTGAAATCAATTTAGTAGGTTAATTTGCACCCAGCATGACATTTACAAAAATTGCCTTAATAATTTTAAGAGGTCCCGAAAATTTAGGTAAATGATGGTGAAATATTTGGTTAATTAAAAAACAATTTATTCTTTTTAATTCAAAATAATTGAACTTAAAAATCTATTTTTTTAATTTTCTAATTTCTCCTTAATAAACAGTATTTTATTCCTTCCTTATTTCAATCAATAACTAATAAATACCTTGAGGTTTATAAATCATGTGTTTGTGTTTAGAATAGTTCTATTCAAGGAGTAATGGTGTTTCATTTTAAATGTGAGATTACAAATTAAAATTAAACATTAAATTTTATTATAATATAGTTGATAAATAAATATAGGCTAAAAAAAAATAAGTAAAAAGTGTATGTCCTGAAGAGAAAATAAACCCCTCTAAGAATTGAAAGTGTGTGAAATTATTACCAGACTTAAAAAATGTAAAAGTGTACCCTTTATTAACCTAAAATTGTAAAAATCTTAGTTTTTTTACTAATCCAGTCAAAGTAATATCATTTCAATCAATTATTTTAAATTCAAACCAAAATGCAATGTGAATGAAAAAATAATTTATATTTAAATTATTTTCTGATACACAATGAAAATGGTTATGTGAATATAATAGAGTACTTACATAATTTATTATTCATGCAATATAAATCAATGAATAATTTAAAAAATAATTTTCTTATATAAATATTACAGGGATCAGCGTCAATAAATCTTAGTCTAAATATATTTCTTGCACACAAAAATAAAATTTATTTTTTTTATTCGTACCAGAACTGTTTGGAGCCAGTGTATCTTATTTTCTTTATTATATATTTCAAATATATAAGTACAGATATATTCCATAATCATTATCCGTTTTTATATTTAATAGTTCATGGTTTATTATTCCGATGTTTCTGATGTTGTGATGGAGGTTTTAATACGATTATTTTTTCTAAGACGAGGCTGTAGATTTTAAACGTAACTTGTTTTAAGCAGGATCGACTGTTAGAATTTTACTAGATTTTAATAGAAAGTGAGATTTCAGATTTATAAGACATGGAAATTGCTCCACAAGAGACACATGCCTCAAGTCGCATTAATTGCAAAACACTTGCCAGATTTTTATTTTGGTAACGAAGTTTTCTATCTACAGCTTATGTGAACTGTTAATTGTGTATTATATTAGCACATTTAACTGAAAGATAATCTCCTATACATTACTTAAGAATGTGTTCTTTAAACCTAATTGAATTCTCAGGAGTAGCATCAGAGTTAAATCTCAGTATGAAAATAATTAACTTTAATCATAATTGAATTATTTAATTCGTAGAAAGAAAGTTGAATAAGAATCCAAAGATAGCTGATGAGTTTACCATATATGCTAAATCTATGTTCAACTTTAATATATGTAAAAAATGGTAAGTTTTCTGTTATCAATTAGTATAGTCCATAAGGGCGAAATCTACTTAGTCCATCTATTGTATTATATATCTCCACTACTCTTATTATTAAACTTAGTATATACATTTATTATACAAATATTCTTATAACTTCAGTTGTGGTCAGTATTAAAAATTAATTTCATAAAAAGAAACATTTTTATATAACATTGTTTTCTTTAAAGAAAAGTTAAATTTTTTCTACGATTATAGTAAATATTACCAGATTAATAAACTACTACTTTATAGGTTCTTACACTACTTAGTTCTTAAGGAGCACACTATCGATGCACACTGTCGCTAAAAAATTAAGACTCTGATCTGGTATCGCAGTGGACCTTAATGGTCTACGCGTGACTTTTTTGGTCTGCTAGCATTACCTAACCTAACCTAATTCTTATATTAAATAACCAGAAAAATTTTATGCAGATACTTACCCTGTAAATTTATAAGTCAATAAATTATATCAAATTTCTTATGCTCATACATCATTTGAAAGCTGTTAGAGCATTTAAACTCAGTACGTTAAGCAATTTAATAAAGAAATTTAAATAAGCAATCTTGGTTATCCTCACAAGTTCCTTTTGAAATAATTAATTGCTTTTCTTGTTTTTCAGCTAAATAAGAAAATTTTCATTTCTGCATAATTTATCCAAAAGAATAAAGTTATTTATCAGCTTAAAAAGTGTAAACAAAAACATTTTGACAAAAAATAAAAAAAAAATTAAATTAAAATAAAAAAGGAAATGGAAGAATTCAAATTTATTTTAATGAATGTCATTGAAAAAAAATATTGTTCAAAGGAAATAGACGTAGAAGACGTAAATAAAAGAAAATATCATTATTTATATTCTTATTGATTTAATAAATTAAATCAGGGTTTGACATGGAAAAGATAAGCCTCGTGGAAAATGTAAAGAATAATTAAAAAGAAATAAGTTTAGATAAAAATGATCATATTTATATTTGTATACCAAAAAGTATATTAAAAAAATTTTTTTTTTCTTCTTAAGTGTTGAACAGGATAAAACAAAGATACTCAGTTAATTGTCCACTGTATCAAAACCAAAAGAATGGTTAAGTACCCAAAATAAAAAAAAAAGGTTTTAACCTGATTTTATTAGTTGCCTTAATGAAGCTAAGAAGAACAGGTAGAGAGTGAGCATGAATATCTTTAATGCTCCAGGCAACTATCTTAACCTCGTTCTTGAAAATGCTGGACAGTAACAGACAAGGTGTTATTTGCAGCTTATCTTCGAGACATGATTGATATGTTGGATCTACGATAATACCAGTAGGGTCTACCTGTGATGATTTTGACTAATATTCTGAGCACTTTGTCTTTAACTGCATGAGAAATTTTAAAACCCGACTGTCAGGTTGTTTTACGAACCTTTTCATTTAATATGTAATATTTTATTTTGGATCACTATTCTTCACCCAATAAAGAAATTATGTACAGCTTACGTTATAAATTAGTTCTGGCATTATGAGAGTCCTAGCTCAGTCTTCACAGAGCAAATGATCAATTCAGAATTTTTATTGCAGTTTTTATAAAAGATAATGATCTGTTGTTGTTGTAATTCTTTAAAACAAAATAAAGTTCCTTTGTTTTCATGCTTTCGATTGTAGAAATCACGCTTTACAAGTTTCTTATCATACCTGTCGTATGCTGCAGAAGCTTGAAGAATTACCAACAGTGATGGGATGGCGTTAGAGCATTCTAGAGAAAAATTTTTCGAAAGAAATATGGTCACACACCCGTTGGCGACGAGTATCAAATTAGGTGGAACGATGAGCTCTATGAGCTATACCGCAACATTGACATAATTAAGCGCATAAAAATTCAGTGGCTTCGCTGGCTTGATCATGTTATGCAAACGGAAAAAAGTGCTTTGGCTAGAAAGGTGTTTGATTCGATACCCGCAGGTAGAAAATGCGGTAGAGACTGTCTGTATCCTTGGTGAAAGGATCAAGTGATGAATGATTTAGAGGTGCTCGGTACTACCAACTGGCGACAGCAAGACAGTGATCGGGCTGGCTGCGAAGGCTAATCAATGCGACCAAGGATGACTCACTCTGTAATGGGCAACTAAGTAAGTAAACGTAATACGAGTAGTAATCTGTAAGTGAGTGGGGAGCAGTCATGTGTAAAATTAAATTGTTTGAGTCGTTTAGCTTCTTAGTTGATCTAATTGCTTGTCTATCCGTTTCTTTGTTTATAAACCAATATTTAAGATTTTTTGCAAACGAAATAAAACTTTGCTTAAAAGTTTCTTACTATTTTAATAGACTAATTTTCAGAATTGCATTGTATTCATTGACAGTTGAGAGGGTAAGCATATACTATTATTAAAAATAGCACTGAATTACAAATTAAGAACCTTATATAATATTATAGTTTTATTTTTATTAAATTTAAAATTTTTTAAAAAAATAATTCCTGGTATTCCTGGTACTTGCAGTCTCAAAAATAATTATTTACGAATACTTAAATACAAGAATTATTTCCAAGACCACTGATAATGGGTATTTGGCAATACTCGAAACAGCTGTATGGTCCGTCAAAAAATCAATTAATTAAAATAATATAAAAAATAAATTTTTGTTGTTGTAGTTCATTACTATTCGAAAGACCTCTTTAAAAAAAAAAATTTTAAAAAAATTGAAATTTAAAATATTTAAAAAAAAATTTTGTTTTTATTTTAAAACCAAAAAATGTTTTTTTTTTAAAAAAAATAATATATATGTTATTTGTAATATAGCACTTTATATGAAGGTTATTTAAGTTTAAGTAAAGTTAAATTTAACTATATGCCTGTTTTTGACAAATTGACTTCATACTTTTAGTGTAAATTGGAAAATATACATAACGAAAAAAAATAAAACCTCTTTTATCTAAATCTATTTATTTGTTAATGTTATTAATTGTCAATAGAAAAAAGTAAAGACAATCCACTGCAAATACTT